GTAAAAAGAAACAACCCTCTCTTTTTCAATAAATGAGTTATACTAAATGATACTAAAAACTGACTTCATGCTGTATCATAAATTCCAAGTTTCCCCTCAGTCTGTGCCACAAAGGAGACTGAATAATCTACTTGAATTGTTTCTTGGACTTCAACTAGTATAAATAAAAAAAGGGAAAACAGTTGGAGCTCTGCTCCAGAAAGGCAACTATATGAAGACTCATGTGCACTCTCCTATAATCTGGTGAAGACAGAGGTCGACAAACTCTGGTCCAGGGGCCAGATCTACTCAGCAAAGAGATCCGAAATGGCACAGACAATGAGTGGTACAGAGTTGCGCTGTGCCAGCCATCCACTCTGAAGCACTCACCTCTACTCCTAAACCTGCTGCTCAGCCACATCTTTGCTTATCCGTAGTGCTGAGGTGTTGGGGGTAAGCACAGAAAACTGGCTGCTCTGGGTGACAGAGACTACCGGGGTAAGCACAGAAAACTGGCTGCTCTGGGGGACAGAGACTAACACTCTGGGAGAGGGCCCTTGGTTGGTGGGCAGATCACAAATGACAACCAATGCCAGCAAAAGTTGCCAACCCTGGGCTAAGCAGTTATTCCTTAGGTCAGATTTAAAAACAACAACAACCACGGACAGGATTTGAGCAAAATTCAGACATCTAAATCGAAAAATCCCTGCTCAGAGGTCACCTAACTTTTGGAGGCACCTGTACTTGCCAGACAGTTCCCTTTTTGGACACAAGAGTCTAATCAGTCATTAAATAAAAATAAACAAGTGAACCTACAACAAAACAGCTAGGCACCCTAGCCAAACATCAGTGACTATCAGCCTTTTTTTTTTTTTTTTTTTTAACTTGTAGGACCTTCATTAGACTCGAGGCATCTTTCCATAACTATTTTGAATTGAGTGGCACCCAATCTCAGAAACTATTTTATGTATTACAGTGCTTACCCAGTGCTAGAGAGGCCAGGTAGTGGGGTTGGGGGACTGGCAGGCAGGAACAGGCCTGAGCCTATGCTTACCTGCTTAGCTTATCTTCTCACACCCCACAGCACCCTGCAAAGGATCTGGTGGCATCCAAGGTTGTCACAGCACCTGGACTAAGAATCACTGCACTGTGGCTAAGACTTTCTCATACATGATTTTGGCATAACGAATTGTGCCATGCCCATTCCACTCATTTTTACCGTCTCCCAAGAGAGAGATTTGCTAGGATACAGCACCCAATGAAAGCAGTTACACTAATCAGCTCCAAGCAGAGCTAATTAGTCAGCCTGCAGCATTGTATGAATGCAACAATGTATTCTCCAGAAGGGCAGCCCTTCCTCTTTTCCCTTCCCTTCTCCCCCCACCCCAGCACCACACTAATTGGAACCAGTTGTGTAGACCAGGGTTGTCAAACATATGGCTCATGGGCCAGATCCAGGACATGGAGCTGCATAATCTGGCCCTGTTGACCCATGTCCTGTGCTAGATTGACCCCTCATGGCACTCCCTGAGGCTGGGTTCCAGACTGCACCGCCCATGGTACTCACTAGGACTGGCGTTAGGTTGCACTGCCCACAGGCCCAGGCAGGATCAGGCATACAAACAGGAGGTCCATGGGCTGATCCAGACTGTGGACCAGTCCCATGCCACTCACCCAACCTGTGAGGCCAGATGAGCTTGACACCTCTGGTATAGACTATCTGTGGTTCTAAAGATCTTGGGCACCCAGGTCTGAATATCAAAATTTGCTTTAGTCTTCTCTAATCAGCATGTAGGTTCACCCATCCAAGGCACGTAACTTATCACTAGTGCTGTCTAGGGAATCTAACTCTACAGTTTAAGGTGTCTGGACCCCCAGAGGCCTACTAGTTAAGCCTAAGCCCTTTTTGGGGGGAACAAGACCTTGAATCTGTTGATATACTGCTTTGCTTACGTGTATATTGTTGTGCATAACACACCATAGGTCCCAATTTGTTGCCTTATGTTTGCATTAAAACAAACATCAGTTATCTGCATATGGATTCAATGCATCACTTAAGTAGAGAGGAACTCTGCAGCGTCCCCTGACCATAACGGGTGCAGGGGGGATGGCTGTGGAGTGCCCAGTGGCTGGTCACATTGAATAACTCAACTCCCTTTAATTACAAAACGTTTAAAACTGACTAGGTGCCATCAATTAATTTCAAGGCTTCTAAAGCCATCCTGAACTGACTAGTTCCTGGCATGGATCTTCAAGAACTCCTGGCGCTCTGGTAAAGTGCCCAAAGACTGGTGCCTATCTTCAAGAAAGGGAGGAAAGTGGATCCCGCAAACTACAGGCCCATCAGCCTGACCTCTATCCCGGGGAAGGCCTTAGAAAAGATTATCAAAGAGGCCATTCTTAATGGACTGGCTGATGGCAACATCCTGAGGGATAGCCAGCACGGGTTTGTTGAGGGTAGGTCTTGCTTGACCAATCTTATTTTCTTTTATGACCAGGTGACCTATCACCTGGACAAGGGAGAGGAGATCGATGTCGTATATGTTGACTTTAAAAAAGCCTTCGACCTGGTATCCTATGATCACCTCTTGGCAAAACTGGCCAACTGTGGCCTCGGGTCCACCATGATCTGCTGGCTGAGGAATTGTCTCCATGGTCAGACCCAGAGGGCGGAGGTTAATGGAAGTCAATCGTCATGGTGCCCTGTGACCCGTGAGGTCCCTCAAGGCTCTGTCCTTGGACCTGTATTGTTCAACATCTTCATTAACAATGTGGACACTGGAGTCAGAAGTGAACTGGCCAAGTTCGCTGATGATACCAAACCTTGGGGTAAAGCATCCACACCTGAGGACAGGAGGGTGATCCAGGCTGACCTCAACAGGCTCAGCAAATGGGCGGATGAGAACCTGATGATGTTTAACACCAAAAAATGCAAGGTTCGCCACCTTGGGAGGAAAAACCTGCAGCATCCTTGTAGGCTCGGCAATGGTACACTGGCTAGCACTACGGATGAAAGGGATTTGGGGGTCAGGATTGAACATGAGCCTTCAATGTGATGCTGCGGCTAGTAAAGTGAGCAAAATGCTGGCTTGTATCCATAGACGCTTCTCAAGCAAATCCCAGGACACCATTCTCCTGTTGTACTCAGCCTTGGTGAGGCCGCAGCTGAAGTACTGCGTCCAGTTTTGGGCTCCACAATTCAAAAAGGATGTGGAGAAGCTTGAGAGAGTGCAGAGAAGAGCCACACGCCTGATCAGAGGTCAGGAAAACAGACCTTACAATGACAGGCTGAGAGCTATGGGACTCTTCAGCCTGGGAAAGCACAGGCTCAAGGGTGATCCGATGGACACCTATAAGTTTATAAGGGGTGTCCACCAGGATCTAGGGGAACATTTGTTCACCAGAGCACCCCCAGGAACAACAAGGTCGAACGGTTATAAACTACTGCAAGACCATTTCAGGCTGGACATAAGGAAGAATTTCTTTACTGTCCCAGGCCCCAAAGTCTGAAATAGCCTGCCACTGGAGGTGGTTCAAGACCTACACTGAACGCTTTCAAGAGAAAATTGGATGCTTATCTTGCTGGGATCCTATGATCCCTGCTGACTTCCTGCCCCTGGGGCAGGGGGCTGGACTCGATGATCTTCCAAGGTCCTTTCCAGCCCTAATGTCTATGAAAACTATGAAATCTATGAAATTTGGAGGGTGCTATTAAAGGCATGAGGTGCTCTGAGAAACAAGGTAAGGAGCCTTAATGAGGTGCAAAAAGCATAGAAAAGGTTGTTCTAGTAGTTAAGTAGCAGTGCTCAACACAGACTTTGGATAAGAACATGCTCCAGGTAAGAGCAGCACTCACCACGCACCTAAATGGAGCACGCTATGCAAGGCAAGATTTCTGCAGCAGACAAAAAAGTTACAAGTTACTCGTTCACTAGCAACATAGTTACAGCTCTGCTTCAAAAACATTTCTTACATCAGCAGTGACAAGAACTTTTAAATCATCTTCCAGCCAATGATTACAACATCTCACGGCCCTTTACAGCTCAGTCCTGCACCCGTGAAATGAGAGAGAGAGAAAAAAAGAGAGAAGGGGGGGAGGGTAAACATGGGGAGGGTAAACGTCCCTGACCTGAGAAGGCAGGTACCTTTGGCTCCAAACCAGGGATGGATGGGGTTTGGGAGGGAGGGGAGGGTGGGGCGTGCATTTGCTTTGATTTTGCCTGCACCCAAACTTTAAAACCAAATGCCTGGGAGTGGCATTTCCATCCAGGAAGCCCTGAAGACATCAACATCAATTGACTTTATGGCTCATTAGAATCTATGTGGCTTGTGCTAAAACATTTAAACATAATTAATCTAAATATCCAAATGCTGCAAGCATAGTTTCTCTAACTAAACTTGGGATATTGCATTTGTAGGGTTTCCATTGTGCTTTTCCTTCAACGAACCAGAGGCACCTGCTTAAGCGGTAAGAGGACTGAGCACATACAGGACAAATCCTTCACCCGCTTACTGGACTTGGGGTGAAAGTAACCGAGCGAGCTGAGCCGCACACACACGGAGCAGAGCCAGACCATGCGCTGCCTCTCCATGCTCGGAGAAGCTTCTTCTCCCTCATTCCCAAGGGCTTCTTCAGCTGCCCTGTTGC